GTGTGTGTGTGTTTGTGTGTGTGTGTGTGTGTGTGTGTGTGTGTGTTTGTGTGTGTGTGTGCGTGCGTGCGTGCGTGCGCGTGTGTGTGTGTGTGTGCGCGCGTGTGTGCGCGTGCGTGCGCGTGCGTGCGTGCGTGCGCGCGCTTATTCATCGGTTATCAGATTTTTATATTGCAAAATAGGAATCAGCTTTGCCCGAGTAAATGGGTTTGTCATTTACGATTGTCAGACTGTTTTCCGAGTAGTTCGTCGTGGAAAATTAACTCTTGCCCGCCTGACGCCACAGAATAATGCTATATATATAAAATAATGGTAGCTTTGGTGATTTTGATTGCAAGTCATATTCAAATTAGCCGTGAATTTTAATCAATAATTCTTAAATCATAATTGCGCTGGAAAATATTTAGAGGGGCCACGCACGACTGAACTGAACAATCGTAAACCCCCAAATTCGTAACAATCTGTGCCCATTGATGACCATCCCTGCTGTCTTCACCTCTAGGTGGAACTTTTTGAATTCCGCGGGGAGGATTTAACCGAAGATGAGGATGGAGGGATTATCCGTCGCATTATCACTAAAGGGCAGCCATATGCCAAGCCGAATGAAGGATCCTCAGTTGAAGGTAACGCATTTCTCATCCTACCTTGACAAGAAATGTATTTATTACGATTTCCAGATACAATGTTTTCGCTTCTGATAAAACACTGATATTGCAGCCTTGTGAATTGGCCAATATTGATCCAATACGACTATTCTAAGCGTGGCATTTTGGATCGTCTCCTCTTCAGTGACGGTGGAGGGCAGCTGCGAGGGGCGCGTGTTTGACGAGAGGGAACTCAAATTCGTGATTGGAGAAGGAGAGTGTCTTGGCTTGCCGGCTGGAGCGGAGAAAGCCATCATGGCCATGGAGAAGGGAGAGGAAGCTCTGTTCCACATCAAACCTAAGTACGATTGATGTTTAGTGAGCAGCCATAATTGTAGAGATAAAAGAACATCTGATGTAAAAAGGAATTTTCGTTGCTTTTGTACAAATAATTGGACTGGAATAAAGTGAGCCCTCCATGAGCCGTCACCATACCTTGGTGGTGGGGTTCATGCGCCCCGATGATCCTAGGAGCCGAGTTGTTTGGGGCTTTATCAAGGGAGGGTGTTGTTCCAACTACAGAGGAATCGCATACCTCAGCTTCCCTGGTAAAATCTATTCAGGGGTGATGGAGAGGAGGGTCTGTCGGGAAGTCAAATCTCTGATTCAGGAGCAGTGTGGCTCTCGGCCGTGGAACAGTGGACCCGCCATACATCCTCGGGAGGGTCCTTGTGGATGCATGGGGGTTCGCCCAACCAGTCGACATGCGTTTTGTAGACTTGGAGAAGGTGTTCGACCATGTACCCCCAGGGAGCTCTGTAGGGGATGCTTCAGGAATACGGGGAATCGAACCCCCTGATAAAAGGGATCTCACTCTTATTTCAAGACACCTGGGAAATGTCAACTTGAAACCGTAAGAGATCAGAAATGCACCAAATGACAAATGTTTGTTTCATTTTCTTGGAGGTATGGCTTTGGGAGCGAGGGAAATGCCAAATATGATATCCCCGGCGGGGCGCTTTTGCAATATAAGATCAAGCTCACAGCCTTGGAAAAGGCCAAAGAGTCGTGGGAAATGAATTCGTCGGAGAAGTTGGAACAGAGTGTCGTCGTCAAAGAGAAGGGGACACAGTATTTTAAGGTATGTATGGGTGGCTGAACCTTTGAACTCCTGTTGGGTTTTGCCACGAACATTTTTGTCCAAGGCCTTTTCAATTGACATCGATCATGTCTATCGCGATACATTTTGATATTGAATTATTGCCCAGCCCCAATAGAGGAGGTTATCTAATGGTCACTGCTTGTGGTGGCTTTCAGAAGGGTATGTTCAAGCAAGCATCTATGCAGTACAAGAGGATTGTGTCGTGGCTTGAGAATGAGTCGGGATTGTCCGAGGAGGAGGAGGAAAAAGCCAAAGCGCTTCGACTGGCTGCGCATCTCAACCTGGCCATGTGCTACCTGAAGCTCAAAGAGCCCAACCAAGCACTGGAACACTGCAACAAGGCAAGACATCACACAACAGGGCACGATCCAATTTCACTTCATTTAATTACAAAATTATGTTATCACGGTTCATAAAGGATGCCAGTGACAGGTAGAACAATAACATGCTTTTCCACTAGGTGGCATAAGGTACACAATTAACATGTTGCCCTGAACATAATAGAATGTGATGGCATGCCAACCTTGGTCAAGTAAAATCAGATGAAATCATTTCACTGTATTTTTGGGTGGGATTTTACACTCAGATTTAAAATGTTTTTCGGATCACGAAAGGATGGGAAACTTTGTACTTGACTACAATGGAGCCTCCAAAGTGTTTCATTGTTGAATAAAGCCTGTTTTGGTGTGGTGTGGTCACAGGCCCTGGAGTTGGACGAGTCCAGTGAGAAGGCACTATTCCGAAGGGGAGAGGCACTGTTCGGCATGAAAGAGTTTGACAAAGCCAGGGATGACTTTCAGCGCGTTGTTCAACTTTATCCCGCTAACAAAGCTGCTAAGAGTCAGGTATGATGGCACCCAGGGAAGAAGTTAAACATGTTTTCACAATGTGTGACGATTGCTTGGCTTGGCTTGGCTGAAGATCGTGAACATGGGAGTCAGAAATGGGGGTGTTTTTCACAAATAATGAAAAACTCGGTGACGTCACCGCTGTAGGATCAGAACTCGGTCCGTTCCTGTAGTTGTGCTACTGTGGAGTGTAAAAACATTGCTAATACTAGTGCTACTTGTGCTGTAATTATTTATGATACTGATTGAATTAATGCCATGAGAGCTACCAATACCCCCCTTGTGAGCTACTGGTAACTCACAATCTACTTAATGGGCACACCTGCTCAAGAGTAACACCACCTTATTATGTCTATTGTCATTTTCCAATCTGTGGATGCTGTTTAAAAGCCACCCAGGTGAGGCTATCGCCTTATTCGCTCGCCCTGACGTCTCCTCCGTTGTTGTCTTCACCCAGGTGGTTCTTTGTCAGAAGCACATGAAGGAGCAGCACGAGAAGGACAAGCGCACGTACGCCAACATGTTCCAGAAGTTTGCCGAGAGGGATTCCAAGGTAATGGATCTTGCCACCCTCAAATGGGAGACTGCTGCTAAATGCGTACCAATCTTTAACAGCTCATCCATCCTAGCGGCGTTTTGTTCTTTTGCAGAAAGCGTCCGAGAAGGTGAAGAGCAAGGAGAACGGAGACAGCGAAGATATGGAGATCGACACTGCTAACAAGGAAGCAGAGGGTGACGCGAAAGTCTAACACGCCGTAAATTCTGACGGTTCACATGTTCTTCAGACTTTTGTTACTTCGGCCGTTTTGTGTTTTAAGTGTGTAACGGTATGCGTGGGTGCAAGAAGCAAGTGTCAACAAGAGCCCTGACTTTGCTGGCTTTCTTCATCCTGGCCTCTTGCCATTGTCGTTAATTGTGGTGGCGATCTGAGCAGGCGTGATGTGGTTGTAATATTTCTGTGCTCATGTCCCCTTCAACTCTCAACCCGCAGCTTTACAACTGTGTTTCACAGCTGAATTACGTATACGCATACCGCGTGAATGTGAGTGTGTGTGTGGAGAATTGAAAAGCCTTCGCTGTAAAGGGCTATTCACCTTGCACTATATTTGTTCTCTCAAGCCTCCGCTTTTATGGGCCTAGTGATCAATTCCAGGATTGGCGACGGCTGAACTCTCTGATACAATGTGCTGGAATGCTCCAAAAGTTTATTCAGTGTTCCCTCACTACTTCGCAGTTCCGTTATTGTCACTTGTGACCATAACTTCATCCATTGCAGTTTTACCTCACTATTTTACTGGTTTTCTCATCATTTTTTTCATCCTTCCAAGTCGGACCAGTCAAGAAATATCTTTTTATTTTTTTGGGCGGGGAGATTTGTTTTACAAAGACCAAGAACGTGAATTAGGAAATTACCGCTTCTCATGCACTACTCTGAGTGTGTGTTTACAGAGGCAGAGTGTGGTGTGCCTCTCTTATTAGGTCATTGCTCCCCAAACCCCTTTCCCTCATCATAGGTGCGTTGGGAAATAAGTTCTCAGTGCGCTGCTTCACTCAGACCGTTCAGAAACTTGGAATGTTGTTCAAATCTGCTGTACAATTATTGAAAGGATGCAAAAAAAAAGGAGCCCAAGCCAAATAGTAAATATCTGCCTTCAGAAATTAAGTGGAGCTCACTCGCTCTGCCTCCAGCAGCAAACGAGGACGATGAAATGACTCAAAACTATGTTTAAGTTTGCTTTGAATTGGCTTACCTAACTAGAATCCCTCCCGCGAAAAGTGAGGGAACACTGCATGCATGTAGCAGGAGGGGATCATGATTTGGGGTTGTAAGCCATTGGACTGAAGTTTTCTGGTTGAATTCTCCAGAAGTGCTGTTTTAGGTTTGGGTCAAACCAGCAGTGCTTTCGGGACTAATGACAGTGTACTTTCAATCCTTTTCCCTCCCCAAAAGTATTGTGCTTGTGATTTCAGAATTGTTGTGAATACGACAAAGTAATCAACTGGAATATCCGGACACGTAAACGAGCATCAAAGCAGCTATACAGGACCCATGACCTCATTCGACCGTCTTAATTTTCTGCTTTGTGAATGAAGTTTTGATGTTTTCAGCCTGTTGAAAGGACGTTGCCGTGAAAAAGCCACTTAGGGTCTACTTGGTCTGTCGGAAGGGTGTGGTTTGTTGTGGTGTGGTCTGGCGGAAGGATTCAATAAACAGTTAAAACCTGCTTTGCGTGACTGTGTGTGATATTCTCTACTGCGTTTTTGCCCTTTTTTATCTGCAGAGTCGCATTACAAATCGTTACCTTCCTCAAAAGAACGGCCGAAGTATTTTTTTTTTTCATAATACACAAAAAACTAAACGAAATAATATCTATTAATATCCTTTCAGAGGTAGAATTGAACCATCTGTTTAACAACGTAGCAGAGATGGCCAGCATCCTGATATGTTTGAAACTTTTTTCCCCCCCAACACACAGTTTTGCTGTATATTCCCCCTTTTGCTCAGAGGAAAGACTTAACAAAAACTGCAGGCTTTCATGGCTCAGTTCAAGTGCCTTATTTTTAAACAATGAGCAACAACTGAGTGCACTAGCCGTGAGACCTTATCCAGCAGCTACCTTGGAGACTCTGGAATCGGTTTACAGGTGCGATCAGCAGACTGTTGTGCCTCACAGATAAACACTAAGACAAAATGAACACACTTGTGACAAGTTGGCTGTAAAACTGGAAACAAAACACATTATTTTCCAGGTTCTATTATAGAACCATTAACATCAGGGGATGAGCCAAAAGATATAAACATGATTCATACATAGGAGGGTTATAGATTGTCCTATACAGTGATCCTTCGCTTCTTTGCGGCTCACTTTTCGCGGTTTCAGTGCATCGCGGCTTTTTCAAAAGCATTCACCAAAAAATAAAAAAATAGCGAAAATGCCGCAAAAGGTCTGCGAGAGGCAGCAAAACAACAGCGAGTCACATAGAGCAACATATACAGTACTACATGTATGTTTGATGTTTGTTTACTGCATTTAGTTATTTATACACTAACCTAACCTAACTTACACATCTTTGACATCTATACAAAAATTAGTATATAGCATTAAGTAATGTTAATTACAACAAACATACCATTAAATTTGGCCTTATAAATATAATATATACTCATACACATGTAAATATTCCTGTACGAGGGGGGTACCTACTTCGCGGAATTTCGTCTTTCGCTGGAGGTCTTTGTCCCTATTAACCGCGATAAGTGAGGGATCACTGCATTCGACCTGAGCGAAGTGATAGACCGATGTCACAACCGTGATTGGAAAGACTGCCTCTAGCAATGTTATGAAACTTATATTTGTATTTCTATGTTTTCTTCTACTCACTGAGACTGCTTTTCAGCTCGGACCAAAAATGCATAACCTCAATAAATACAATTAATGCGTTCTCGCACCCTTTCATGGGGGAACCTTGAAATAAACATCGAACTAAACCACCCATTTTGAATGTCGTGGGCAAAAAAAAAGAAGAAGAAAAAAAAAAGAAGCTGCACAATATAGCATAGCCCATTTATCTACATCTAGGATACCTGTTTCTAATTTGGCCAAATTCCCCAGTCGGAGTTTGTTGAAGAATGCGCCGTAAAATTTGCTGCTACGAAGCAAATATTAATTTCGGACTACGGACCTTTTCATGAGTCCTTATGATAGCCCACCAAATGCGTCAATCAGCAAAAGTGGAATTGAGGCCCTCATTAAGGCTGTTTTAATATGATTTCAATTTTTAAATGAGTGAGCCATTGATCACAAGTATGCAAAGTGACGTCGGGCGTCGTTGACAGTTCATTACTCTGATTGTCTGTTTGCTATTGAATCCATGCATGAGATATTATGAGATAGAACACAAAAGCAAACCACGACCAAGGTAATTATCTGGTAAATCAAGCTAAAAAAAACATTTACTTTTTACTTGGACTTGTTCACAGTACAGAGGTCTACAGGTCGAATCCGGGCTCCAGCCTTTCTGTGTGGGGTTTAAATGTTGTCCCCATGCCTTCACGGGTTTTCTCTGGGTACTCCGGATGGACGGATGGATAAAATAAAAATGCTGGAGGAGCAAAACTGAGGCTACATGGATTTCTTCTGTGTACCCCCCGCCAATGAAACACAAAGCATTATCTTTCTATTCATACATCATAATGTATGTACACTTACGTCTCCTCGCCTCCTACGATGGATACAAGGTTGTAAAATGCGTGTTTTTAAAAGGAGAAACTGTTTGCTAACCTATCACCTCAACCTGCTTCAGGTATCCAAGCCAAAGAAACAGAGGCGTATCTTACTCTGGGAGGTAAGGTCAATTCGCAGAAATCTATCCTAAAATAACAGTGTCTTGGGGAGGCTCTTTCAAAATAAATTCATTCTTATTACAACACCACCAAAATAAACAGTTCCAGTGATAGTTTTACCACGGGTGAAAAATAAATTATTTAAGACAGAGTTATATTAGTAATTTAGTGTCATTATGCTTTGGTTTTAGAATAGTTTGTTCGTTCAATTGCTTTGTTTTGTTTTTTAAAGAATAAGTCAATTTCCGTTTTCTTCTGACTGACAATTGAACGGCGGTGTGGGTACTCTCATCGTCCGTTGTGTTTGTTGAGGTGGAAATGGCAAGAAAATGTTAGGCATCAAACGAGCCACACCAACATTTTATAAGTCTCTGAGCCGTTTATTTGCAATTTAAAGACTTATTTTGCCGCCTTGTTTCTGTTCGCCTCTGGAATGGAAGCGACCGAGTCACGAGCGCACCGGGTACAGATTGGTGGCCGGTAGTAGCGCGCACATTCGCCGGGGACAGAAGCACCGACGACAAACTGGGATCAAGTGACGGTCCCTTTCTAAAAGCGACGACGTCCAGCAGCAAAGCTGATGAATGACCCCAGTTGAGCTGTCAGCTGAGTGCCGGGATGATAACCACGTTTTTCCCAGTGAAGAAACTGCGGAGGAAGGGCAAATGTGTGCTGTTCGGGGCCATTCTGGTCGTCGCGGCGGTAACCGTTGTGTCCAAAGCGCGGTGGGGAGAAGGCACCGGTAAGTTTGGCAACTTCGGAAAAGGTTTTAACTATTGTTGACATTCAATTTTACTTTTAAGGACAGTCAAATAATTACCCAAACACACATATTTACTATAATAGCGACTTTGTACTCATTACATTAAGAAAACACTTGATCACTTTAACTTTTAATTTATTTGATTGACTTTTTGGTATCACCTGATGAATATTGCTTTGCTTTTGACTTAAAATATGATGAAAAATAGACACGTGTTTTGTTCATCAGTCCCTATTTAAGTTCACTGAAAGTCACCATTTCTCAAGTGTAGTTTATTGAGTTGGAATTCCTGTAAATCTCATAAAACTCATGAAAAAATATTCGATATTTACAATACCCTCCACATTTATTCGAACGGCAAGGTCAATTTCTTTGTTTTTGTTGCATACAGAAGAAATTTGGGTTTCAGAGCAAGCGATTGATATGAGACAGAAATTCACAAGTTCACCTTTTCTTTCATATTATGGACATCTAGATGTAGTGAACAACTCACGGCGGAAAGCAAAATAACAATTTGCACCTGTTGAAACTGTTGAAACTCCTGTAAAGGGTGTCGTCCTGTTTAAATTTATATAAGGGATTATCTCCTAAAGTGGTCATATCTTGCTGTGCGGTCAGATGTACCAAGAGACAAGGATGTAAACCAAACTCAGCTTTTTATCACATACCCGCTGTTGAAGATAAAAGACAGCGATGGGTATCAGCAACCAACCGAAAGGACTGGCAGCCCTCAAAGTATTTGAAGATTTGCAGCGATCCTTTTTCACAGGGTTCGTAGATCATATTTCCTATATTTTACTCATAATCATTAAATTACTGCGTGATGCTGAGCGCAAACATGGGATGGAATGTGTAAAAATACTAAAATAAAAATACGTCAATTAGCATTATAAGCAAGTTTTACCTGCTGCATCCTCTATTGGGTTAAGATCTAGTGATTGACTTGGCCAGTTTTAAGAGCTTACACTGCTGACAAAGTCCTTTTTTGTGTTCGCATAAGCAGCCATGTAAGGCCAAGCCATGACATTACCTGCACCATGCGAATTGAGCTTGTGTGTTTTGGATCACAAGCAGATCCTTTCTTAATCCATACTTTAGCCTTTCCATCACTTTGTTAGACGTTACTTTTGGTCTTATCAGTCAGTTGTTTTTTTCACACTTAATTTGTCTTAATGAGTGCAGCCTAACGCAGGTGAAACAAGAAAACAGGTTCCTTTGAAAAGAGACACGCCAGCTGTGAGAAAGTTGTCTGTGGGGTCTGCTGTTGGGGGGCTGGGGCAGGTCAGTAGTTCACGTCACCGTTTTACTCTCCACATCGGAGGGAAATGCCGTCTCGTGTCGGCTAACCGCACTTCCTGTCGTTGTCTTTACCTTTATTTGCACCGCATGAGTCTTAACAGAAGGGTGTCAGGGATGCAGATGAGAACAGAGTGGAAATGACAACACGACTCATACACTCCACCGTTTGCTCCCTTTGAACAAAGCCTGACGTGTAAACACATGCTGAGAGCTGAAATGCGAGGCAAGGGGGTCGTCTCGCTTTACATTCCTCACCTTTACATTGGAGTGACGATCGCGCTTGATGGTAGTCACAACGGAGAGGAAAATGCAAAAATGTCACATGGTGGAATTCAAAGGACTTGAATGCTTTCATGCTCATTTTTATGTTTTTAAAGATTTTTCTATTGAATTGAATTTGGAACCCAGTAAATTCGAGGTCATCAATTATTTCATAGATTACTCTGTAATGATGTAAAAGTGATGGGAAGTCCTGTGACGAGGCTTCAGCTTATTCAGTACCCGAAACAGCACCAAAGATCTTATTGCCTCAATAGTAGGCGTCTGCCGACCGTCCGGCCAGTTTGTCGTCACACTTATACTTTCCCATGTCCTTTTTTTCACCTTGAGAATCTTTTTCGTTTTTAAGTATTGCTCCCGAGAAGTCGCTACGGCCTGTGAGCAGCAAATGTTGGTGCGGTAAACACGTAAGTGGCCCAACATCGGCTACAGTTGGTGCAAATGCGATTAAAAAAATAGATATCTAATAAAATGTTGACCAATTCTGTAGTCAGTTGAACCACCGAATTATTCATTTAATCTAATGGCAGAATTCAAGGA